GCCGAGCGAAGCGGGAGCAGCGGCCCCGCTGCAGGCGTGAGCGGGGCCTGCGGGAGTCCCCGTGGACGTGGGGGCGCATGTGGCCTTTCTTAAAGACACTGTTGACTAATATGTGGAAATAGCAGTGCAAAGCACAGTAGGGGTTTTGTGGTGGGACTTTGTAGCCCTCCGTGAATCAGCTTTGTAGCCAGAAGTTGGTGCCACGTTAAGGAGGACATTTTACTCATTGGGAAAATGTGGGCAGTTCACTGCAGGGCAGTCCATTTCTAAATGCAGGGCTGCATTTTTTTCTTACATCTCTCTGCCTGGATAGCAGATTCCTGAGTGTTAAGGCTTGAGGCCTCAAACCCTGTACATTTAGAGTAGCACAGTAGTTCATTATTTGCTGTCCATGAGCCTGCACATGATGAAAACTATGTTGGTAGGGACATCTGAGACGCTGATGAATGCCAACATAGCTGAGCTGGGCATGGAGCATCTCGTATCTGGCATGGCTGAAACACCATGTGGTCCTGTGTGAGCAGCCAAACTCAGTTAATGGTGGCAGGACTGACTAGATACTTCCACTGTAAGACTGAAGCCACAGGAAACTCAAAAATTTAATATTGTCATTTTTCTACAGGCCAAATTTCAATGCTTAAGAACATGGCTAGCAATGTTTTGCTGCCTTGTCTCAGGAGAGTTGGAATTTTGCTTGTAGTTTTAAATTAAGCTTATACATTTTAGTTGTGAATATTTTCTTCTCGGACTATGTCCAGTTTTAGAAGAAAAACGAATGGATCCTTTTCCTTTTTTTCCAGATAAGATGCCTGAAGTAAACCCTTTCTTCTCCTTTGGTGCAAAACAGGTGGGCACTACTTCTGAAATGTGATATTTGAGATGTGAAACCTGTGCCTGCTCTGCAGGTACATTTTAGCAACTAGGCTGTATTTCAGGAATTTGGTAATTAGTAACTGCTTGAAATCTCTAATCAGAATGCAAAATTACAGTAGATACTGTATGAGTTCATTACTGCTATTTCACCATCTGTAGCAGTGGGTGGCTTGTTATTTGGGAAAAGTAACTGTCAGATGTCTATTCTAAAAAATAGAATCATAGAATGCTTAGGGTTGGAAGGGACCTCTAGAGATTGTCTAGTCCAACCCCCCTGCACACGCAGGGTCACCTAGAGCACGTGGCCCAGGACTGCATCCAAGCGGGTTTGGAAGATCTCCAGAGAAGGAGACTCCACAACCTCTCTGGGCAGCCTGTTCCAGTGCTCTGTCACCCTCACTGTTAAGAAATTTTTCCTAAGTTCCTGTGGAACTTTTGGTGCTTCAGTTTGTGGCCATTACCTCTAGTTCTGTCAGTGGCCACCACTGAAAAGTACCTGCAACTATTGGAGTTATTGTTACTTCCCTAAACCGGAGAGCCTCTGATGTACATTTAAGAGTAGTGGACAGAAGGGATTTCTGAAAACTCCATACTGAGGCTTTCTCTTAGTGTCACTCTAAATCCCTTGATCAGTTCTTCTGGTATTTGAATCTCTGATATCTCTTCCCAGATCTGCCCCCAAAGTTGGAGACTTGCTACTTCACAAGGTAATTTTTTTTTTTTTAAATTCAGTGTGAAATGAATTTGTGGCTTCTGGTTCATATAGATACAACTTTTAATTTTTACATCAGGAGGCAAACTTTATCCCCTCAGTTGAGTTCTCCCTCTGGTGCCACCGTGATGACATTTATTTGCTACTCTTGACCAAGAGAGTGATGAGAACTTTTACCACCATTATCTCCATCTGAGAGGCACAACAGCAGAGTGCTTCCAGGGGTTTTGGCTTTTGGACATAAGTTTCACAGGTGTCTTTTTTTTAGGCTTTGAATCATGCACTTGGAAGACTTAAAGATATCTTACCTGGTAAGAAACTTCATAAAATCTCTTTTTTCTTGTCTGTGGAAGTGGCTTGGGATTTATTCTACTAAATTGCTGAAAAGTGTTTGCTTCTGTTAAAAAGACTTTTGAATAGTTCTTGATATGTTTTGTACAGAGGGCTTTTAATTTGCTCAAAGTTATTGCAAGAAAGGAGTGATAGTTTGGAACAATTATTCCAAAGCAGATACAGTGATGATAACATAGTTCAGCAGAATATCCTGTGATGAGCAGAGATTTGTCTTTCGCTCCTGTCTGATGTATCTAGCTGTTGTGATTTCCTCACAGCAGGTCTCGCTCATGCCAAGGTGGCGAAGGAAATTTTTATCTTTTTTTGTCTTGCAGGCACTGAAAGATGAAGCATTAAGCTGTGCAAGGTAAATGTCTTATTACCTTTGTGTATTAAATGGGGTGTGTGTGTGTATATATATATCCCTAACCTATGAAGGCTGCATATGATGACAACATAGTTCAGCAGATAAGCTGTGATGATCACACTGCTATTGTCTTTCGCTCCTATCTGATGCAGTCTCCTTTGATAATAATTAATAGCATCCATTAATAAACTGCTCAGCATTAAAAGTTATGCAGATAAATAGAATGTAAGAATATGTCCTTGTGAATTTAACCGCAAGCAGTGGAATCAATTTGCTAATCTTGGTTCATCAGATTTTAGTGCTTCAATTCCTGTAAGCAACTGTTGCTTTGCAGGCTTCTCGGTACAGAACGATGTAGGATGTCTGTGTAGTGCAAGAAACTTTCAGCTGTTGGTGAAGACAAGGCCTTGTTAACTGAAGGTAACTATTTTAGGATGAATACCATGATTGGATTTTTTTTTAGAATCTAAATGTCTCATAGTGAATGCAAGAATGCTATTGAAAAGCTTTTTCTGGGTTATGCAGGCATTGTCACACAGTTCATAACATGGAACTCTGTGATTTAAAAGTTCTCTCATTTCAATTTGAATAGTCTCTTGGGAGAAAAATTAAATGTTCTGGAGAGTACTGTGTGTTAGCTTATGAAATTTCTTTGTGGCGGGGGCTGGGGAGTGTAAACATCACTGTAAATGATGTTGAATCAGGTCTCTGATCCCTGTGAGGATAAAACTTGACTAAACACTGATACAGTCTTTCGCTAGAACTGTCATTCTGGGCAAAAACTTTATGCTGGAGCCTATCTAACAGTAACTTTTCCTTTGCAGGCTTTCAGAGTGCTTCTGGCCATGATGTAAGTAATTATAACTCTGCAAGTAGAATATAAAAATATGCCTAGAATATGCCTGTGAAATGAAGTCTTAAGTTGGGAGGGGGGAGATGGTGTTGGCTGCTGCTTGCATCCAAGTTAAAAATAGAAGGATGCTAAAATAGTAGCTATAAGTTAAAAATAGAAGGGGAGAACTGTAGGATAAGGTTCCCTACCTTGGCTTGCTTGTTTGTGTGAAGCTGTTATGGTGCTGTGTACCTGTGAGCCTGTTAGGTTGCTCTGATAGCACCATTTGAGCATTTGCCCTCTTTGCCACACCAGCTGTAGCCTAAAGTAGATAGCTGTCCACTGGAAGCTGCCTGTGTGATGAGATGTGAATAAACTGACTTCAATCGTGGAGGTCTGCAATTAGCTCTATCTGACTTCAGGCATCTGACTAGATTTTTTCTTTTTCTCTGTTGGCTTGTGGGTTGTTCTGACTCTTATTTTTGTTGCAGGAGTGGAACTGCTCCATGCAGTTGGTAGTGTTGCCAGCAAATGTAAGTTGCCAACAAACTGATTGTATGCAGGCAGTTGCCTGGATTTTCTTGGTTTTTGATTTATGTTTTGGGACTCAATTTGTTTGACCACTCTTGAGAATGGAAATTCTATAGGCAGGGGTCTTACAGGGTTGTAATGATGTTGCCAAATGTCTGACCTGAAGCGATAATGTGGACTATTCTTTACTGAAAGACCCTGTAAGTGGCTGTAGCTGTAAATGTGGTGGCAATAGAGTAACTGACTGCTTGATATGAAAGGCAATTCTGTGTGACTGTGGATAAGTGGGAGCAGCCCTTTGGGACTTGACGTTTTTTGGTTAAGTGATGGTCTGTCGCAGGAGATGCAGAGTTGCTATCTTTAGGGTTTTTAATGGGGAAAGATGTTGTGAACAGTGTTTAAAAGTTACTCCTTGAGGTTAACCATCTGTTGTCTTTCAACAAATGTTCCTTATTTACTTGGATGTGACTTTCAATTACATAATAGCTTCAGTATGGTGTGGTAGGAGTTCCATATCTCAAAGAATGCCAAGTCACATGATAATGTTATGGAGAGAAATAGCCTCACTTAAGCCTTAGAAACTTGTGTGGCAGTACAGATCAAATGTATCATATCACAAGAGTAGAAAATTATTTGTATGCTGCTTACCAAAAGATCCATGTTTTGCCTTTCAAGCTTTCAAAAGTGCTTGGCATTTGGCTTCACTGGTGTGTGAAGCTATGATAAAGTCATCAGACCATGTGGGAAGTGTAGGTAGCAGAAATACTTGATCTTTAGTGGGAATGAGTGGCACTGCTCGTGTTCTGTCTGTACCTCTTAGAGGAGAGTGTGTGATTGGTTGCGTTCCTTTTCCTGGAGCAGAGCTGGTGAAATGTGAGTGCTGCTGGCTGCCATCAGAGCATGTGCTAGTCTGCGCTTTGCATTCACAAGCACCAGTTGCTTCAGTCTGTCTAGAACCAGTTGACTGTGATGGTGATTGTAACAGTGCGCCAAGGGGTTGAGAATCTTAATGAGATTCCAAAGTAACATTAGCCATGTACTGAATTGTTATTTCATGTGTGTGTCTTAGATTTGCTACTGGAAGAGCTGCCAGACATTTCATAGCAGTGTGCTTGTAAAGGGTAAGATGCTTGTTTCACATTTGCTATAACTCTTTTTTAGTACTTAAGTCACTTGCTTTCCATATCTGGAAAAAAAATGGTGTGGGCCAGCTGCAATATGCAACTGTTGTGCACTGCTTGATTTTCTAGTTGATGAGAAGGTGTGTGGCAACATGACTGTAGAGTTAGCATCAGGGCTCTGCTGATGCTCCAGAAACCACCACATGATTAAATTATACAGTGGGCCTTTGCAAAGAGTAGCTCTGACCTTAAAGTGTTGGAGTAATTGGGGAAATGGTTTATCTGAATGGCTGGATTAAGGCTTTTATGTGATGTGAGTGAAGATATGGCTAGCAGCAGGGTCTGAAATGCTGATGTTGGCTCCTCTGGAAAGGAGAAACAAAAGTAGCAGGATGTGAAGCTTCTGTAAGGGCTGTACTGTTGGTGATGATTGGTTTTTAAGCAATGGGAATCTCTCTGAAAGAGGATGAGGAGGACTCTTAAACTGAAACAGTACATGCACCTGAGCTAACTCCTGAAGTGTTGCCAAGGAGAGTGTTAACAAAAAATAATTTTTTACAGGATGATGCCCATGGGAAATTTATGAAGCAAGACTAGCTTCTGTCTGAGGTAAGATCAGAGCACAGCTTCCAGACTGCAGGCTTTGCTAAGTGGTGAAAAGCTGCCTTTAAGCGTGCATACCTGGCTGGTAGTGCCTGCAGACAGTGGTAGAATGGATCTGGTTTGTGTAGCTTGAGTATGTTCTCAGCCTTCCAGTTGCAATTACTGTGGGGATAAACATGATACCACTGAGCAGTAATTAACTTCTCTGTAGTTCTGCATTAGATATTTATGGGAAGAGCTCTTCCAGAGCAGATGTGACTTGATACCTTCCCAGTCCCTGAACTATCAACACTGGTGAGCTTCATGTAGAGTACTGCTCGTATGAACAGAAGATGTGGCCTCAGTGATTTAAAGATTTTTTTTTATTGGTCAATACTTTCAGCAAGGGGAAGTAGTAAAGAAACTGAGGTGGTGATGAGGCTATTTCAACTAGTACAACATTGGTAACATAGTTCAGCAGAATGCACAGTAACAAGTGTCACTCCTGTCTGGTTTATCTGACAGTGGACTGACAGTGCAACACTGCTGCACTTGAAGTAAAACAAAACCTGTGTTCTGTAGCTGGCAAAAGTTATTGCTTATATAGTTATGATCTTAAGTTATATTGGTTGTAAACAATTTTAAGATAAAGTTCTAGCTGATGGAAAACATCTTTCCTTCTGTGGACTTGTATTTGCTTTTGAGGATAAGGTTTCAAGATAAGAGATGTATGGAATTTGTATTTTAGGCATCAAAACTCAAATGTGATTGAAGGAGACTTTATCAATGGGCAGCATCACAAATCAGTAGCTAGATGCTTTTTTCTCATTCTTGTAATGTTAGTAACTATTTGAAATTCAGCTGGGATTTGTAAGATTTAATATGTACCTAAGTGCTATAATTAGAATCTGTTGTTAGCTGGCACCTGAAATGTAGTCTCCTTTAAGTTGTTAGTTTGCTAAATACAATTTCATAGATGTATAATTAAACTTGCATATTGATTCTTGCTTGTTCTAAAACAATTCTGTTCTTCCTCAGGAAAGGACTATTCTGTCTGCAGCTTCATTAGGTAAGATTACACAATAGATTAATATTTTCCTAAAGACCTTTGGGGAATATTTGTAGCCACTGATGAAATTTGATTCTGCCAGATGAATTACTGTGATAACACCTATTTCCGTTCCACTATTTCTGAGGCTACAGAACTGCTGAAAAAAGCTTTTAGCAATTTGCTACTACACATGTTAAGCTTGTTTTCTTGATTTAGGTTGTGAGGAAGATTGGAAACTACTATGAGGATCTGAAAAGTGAGTATATGTGACCACAGTAATACTGAGATTTCTTGGCTGGAACAGATGATGATTACAACCTTAGCTTGAACTCTCTCTCTGAACAGAGATGAAAATCTAAGGTCTGATTTGTTCCCAGCGAGCTGCTTGTCCATTTAGTGCCCTATAACAGTTCCTGTGTCTATCTTAATAGGGGGAAGATGGCAGAACAAGGGGCTACAGTCCATGAACAGCATTAAAAACCCAAGGCTTTGTGGTAATAACTGATACAGCTTGGAACCAATAAAATCTTGCAAACTGCTTGTTGTTGTGAACTGCTTTTTGACTTGCTCTTGAAGCTCCAAGCTATTTTTGAAAACTTCAAAAGGTTGACTTAGAGCAGAGAAAGGAAATAGGAGTTCTGCAAAGTCTTCTAACTTACAGGGTGTCAGACATGCTGTTATTGGTAGCATTAAGACAGAATGAGTTAGCTTGAATCGTGTATAGATATGAGATAAACTGAAGACTAAGTAACTTAAGGTTGTAATGAAGTAGCACTTATTGTTTAGCTTTTACACCTATAAAATAGTACTGCTTGTGAATTTTAAAAACAGTGAAATTTCTGTAAAGATGTGAAGTCTGTTATGCATCTCCAGCAAATGTACACATGCATAGAGCTTGGACACTGTTAACCTTTCTCCCCTGGCTTCTCAATGTGGGGAAAAGTCAGTTCTGAAGAGCCCATTCTGCTTAACACTTGGATAATGTAGGTGTAGCACTTCTAATGAAGTAAACAGGAGATTAAAAATGTCCTGTAGTAATGGCTTCAGATCATAATGTTTTCCCAGACCTTTTTGGTAAAAGGAGTGGAAAGGAGTCACTTCCACCCAACTGGTTTGAGCTACCTGAATTTAAGCTTCACCTGGAAAAAAAAGAGCTGAGCTCTTTTTAGCTAGAGTAGTCTTCTGCCCTAGATAAAAAGCTTCTGTATCTGTGTGGAAATTTAGTTTCTTCTGCACTCTAAAGCAAGAGCTGATCATTAGGCCTGTTTTCATCCAGAACTGATTAGTGCTTCTTACTATTTTCCCTTGTATTACTTCTTAAAATACCATACTTCATTGTGCCTATTGAAGAGTTTGAAAGGACTGTCATAGCCTGCAGTGTAGAAGAAGTCTTCGTGGAATAATTGGCCTCTGTTTCTTAGGATTCTGGCCAATACTTCAGCTTCCTCTGCATATTTCTCTGGTGAGGCAAAACCACCAAAAGACCTAGGAGAAGGGAGGAGAGAGGGGTTTTATCAACTTGTAGGAGTTTAAGGTAGGATCGAAAGTGTGTCCCTTTTCTTTCTACAGAAGAGAAGTATGAGGCTTCTCAACTATGTAGTTATCAAACTGCACAGCGGCTCAGGGAATGCATGGCTATTGGTGCTAATTTGAAAGGTTATCAAAAATAGCTAGGTTGCTTGTGATTGCAGAATTATGAGCTAATAACACAGAGAAGGCAGAATGACCTGTGCTGGGAATTTTTGATGAGCTATAGGTAGGGGTTAGCTGATCAGGGATTTAGCTCTTTTTGTAGCCCAGGAAATGTGCCCAAAGCAGGGATGCTGAGGGCTATACTTGCATGAAATCCCCTCAGCCCAGAATGTGAGAATCTGCTGAAAAAGGAGTGTCTTAAAGCTTACAGACAGTTCTTCATCCTCAGCAGGACACCCTGGGATCCTTTGTATGCCCATCCCAAAAGCGGATGGGAATGATTTCTAAATCCCCAAGCTTGGCTCATCTAAGGCTCTAGCCATTACTTGGACATCAACTGAGGAAGAATACTCTATCCTCTTCATTGTTAAATCCCTTTCACCCTCTGTGAGGCATACTGCTGCTCACCTGATGAAGATGCCTGCGGCCTTTCGCTCTTCAACAAACACATCAGAGTCACTGGGCTGCGGAGGGGAGTCCTGATGTTCAAAGGGCAAAAAGAAGGAGATCTTGAAGTCTGTGCAGCCAGGCTTTACCAGGCATGTCACTGGGACAGTCATATCAATCTTCATTTCTAGAAGAAAATAATATGCTCAGGTGCAAGTAGGGGCTGCCTCACTGTTACTGTCAAGGTAGATGTCAAGGCAGCCTCTAAACATTCATCTGAGGCGAGGCATTGCTGCCCATCCTTCTGTTTTCCTCTCTCCCTGATTTTCTAGTCCTTTATAGGCTGACTGGGGCACTGTTCAGGCTGCTGCAGCAGCTTCTCTCATCCTATAAGATCATTGGAACAAAGAATTGCGTTTCTTGCTTTGTGTTTATCAGAGGATGTAACAGCTCAAAAGAGGATGAATGGGTTAGAGCAAGAAAGGGAAACTGCAGTGTGACCCAGCTCCTTTAATATATTTTCTGCTCAGCTTTGTCTCCCATGTACACATCTTAACAGTGCCAAGCCAGCATAGCCTCATACCTTTCTCATTCTTTCCTTGGATATAGTGGAAGAGTTTCCAGAAGCCCTGCCGCATGGCCTCCTTCTGGGTCTCTCCTCTGATGACAGTGCTAACCCACTTGGCAGTCTCATACTGACGCAGCTCATAATCTTTTGCCTAAAAAGCAGCAAAAAATCACAGTAACCATGAAGCTGGCATTTATCCCAGTTTTATTTTTCCCTGCCCTACCCCAGTGTCCCCTTCCACCGAGGAGTGACCCACTTTTGTAGGAGTGCTTCCCAGTTTCTGCATGCTCAGGTGCAGAATGCCAAATGTATCTTAGCTCTGCAGCACCCTGACTGCAGAACTTCATTTGCACCCTCAGCCCTCAGGCATTACCATGGTCTCAGCTGAGCTCCACCGAGGGGACTGCAGATCCAGGGACAGAAATGTTTGCTTGAAGGATTTGATCATCTTGCCACTGCTGAAATGCAGACACAATTCATTGGTCTTTTTCTGACCCATGTGTTATGAATAAGAACAAAGTATTGGGGCTTTTCTGCCTCATCCCATGGCTTTTTTCAGTCTCTAGTTTCCAACCTTTCAGTAAAACCTGCTGCAGTGAGAAGTGACTGGAAGAATTCAGGCAAGAGACAGGAGTTTTCCAGAAAGCAGTTGTCCCTGATATTGTGAAAGGTCTCACTAGTTCCTTGTTCTTGTTACTGCTTGTTCCCAATTATTAAAAAAAAAAAAAAAAAACCCTAAATGCTGATAGCCCTGAAGCAGAGAGCCAAGAAGTGCAACTGCAAGAGAACTGCTGTGGGAGCATTTGCCTTTCAGGAAATGCTGCCTTGGTGCCTCTGTGAGGTGAGGGCATTTCCTGACTGCCCAAGAAGCGTGGGATTCTGCAGGCAGCATCCGTAAGGAAAACAGACTTGAGATGATCAGGCGCTTTTCTCCTGGATTAAAAGGTATGGATATTGATGTGTATTCTAGTGCTGGCAATGCCCACAGTTTTATTGGCTTATCCAGTAATAATTGATATTTAAAGCCTCAACTCCTGTAGTCCTGCAACTTTATAAGACTTGATGTATTTATGAGTACATGCCTACTTTTCTAGCTTTCATCCTAAAAAGGATAAGACTGAAAATATGAAAAAATCCAAGTAACTGCCACAAAAGCAAGCAAAAAAAAAATCAAAATCAATTTGTATAATCATATCTGGTTAATTTTTTACATCTTAGGCAGGTCACTATATGATATTTGTTAACACCAAGTAGACAGTAATGCATTCTGAGAAAATTTCTGTTACAAAACTGTCCTGAATTTCAGATAGGAAAGACAACATGTTGTTAAGTTAGTGTTTATCTGAATTCTTAGGTCAGGGCTTGATATTACATTGTCTTTCTGGAGCATGATTTGATTGCATATTTTTTGGGTGGCAAAACAAGTTTTGTGTTTTTTTTTTTCATAACCCGTAACTCTGCCCCTGTCTTTAATGTGACAATTTGTGAGCATTAAGGATGTTACTTTTTGGGGGGATAAAAAACAAGAGCTGCCTTGAGCTAGCCAATTCCTTTCTTGCCTGTTTCTTAGAGCCCTTCACACGAAGACAATATTTCTCAACGCTTGCAGGCATACCCTGCTGTAGTCTGCTGTTGAACACTGCTAATCCCCTGCTATACCCTGATTTAGGTGTGGCCACTGCTTTTTGCTTTGAAATCTATCAAGGTGAAAAGCTTTTATGGAAAAAAAGTGAAATTACAGGAACTGGTTTTACTTCCAATCATTAAAATAATTGTAAGTGCACTGCAGAGAGCACTCATACACTGAAAACCTTTTTTCAGCAGTTTCTCCAGCTGTCACCATGGAACGAGGGAACATTGGAGAACCCCCCAGCAGGATACCAATGCCAGCAGGCACTCTTCTCTCTGTCCCAGCTTGAAGTTCTAGCATAATTGCTCAAGTTCAGCAGTGCATTTACCAGGACTGGTCACCAGGAACTGCTACATGGCACTATTACTATGCCATGTAAGTATAGTGAGCTTTACTATCTTCTAACGTGGTTTTGTTGATAGTGCTTTAACATAATAAATGAGACATAGCAAGAAGCAGGAACACAATATTTTTATTAGAAGCAAATATTCTATACTGAAACTTCTTACGGTAACTATATTTTCTCTTGTTAATTCAAAGTCAAAGATGGTATTTCTTTGCTATGCTTTCGCTCTGTTTTTCTTTGCTACCTCACCATCTGCTATTACACAAAGAAAGTGGAGAAAGTAGCTGTACTTACGTTTTGGAGAATCAACTCTCCTTATCCTTGTAGCTATCTCTGCTTCTGAGGCTGCTCACGTTCCCCACATGGTGCGTGTCAGCGTTTATTTTGGTTTCCTCGAGCTCCACCCATGCCACGTCCCTACTGGTGGGAGATGCTGTTACGAAAGCCAGGACCTCGTAGCCTTTTCCTCCTGTGGGTCTCACTGGAGATCTCCCACACAAGTGCCAAGAGCCCTACGTCCTGCCCACGAGGCAGCGCTGGCTCTGGTATGTGATGTGCCTGTATAAACACTTTTGCATCCTTGTGCAACAGCCACCGGCTCCCTGACAATCCTGCCTGTCCATGCTGGAGTCAGTTCTCTGGCTTGGTTCTCTGCTCTCCAGAAATCACATAAATGCATCAATAACCTCCATCCGTCTGTCTATTCACTGCCCCTAACGCATCTTTATGCAATTTTTGCTGACATGTTAGGAAATACAGTGTTCTTTTATAATGGGCTGTCTGTTTTGAATGGTATTTGAGAGTAATCAGCCCCCCTAGCCCTTGGGTGTCTGCACAAAGGGCTTATACAAAACTATTATGAAATCCTACCGTGTTTGTAGTAAACAGAATGTAGCTGGATTCTTTGGGCAACCAGCATCAGCTCCAGATTTAGTTAAGTGCCAGCAAAATAGAACAGATATTTGAGTCCTGAAAACATGTCCTATGTTTGGCATGATTCACGCAAATCCCTTGCAGGCAAATTCACCCAAACCTACTGGGACATTTGAGATCGATAGGTGAGAATGGCTTTTAGCAGAAGCCACGTATGCTGGCAGGGAACTCTACCAGTGTGCTGTGTGATACCCTCCTTGTCAGGAGGGTGTGGAGGGAAACGATGCCAAATTGTAGTTGCAGACCTCTCTCTAATGCAACTAAAGTGGCTCTCTAATTAGAGAGGAGTTTGACTAATCAAACCTATTAGAACATGGTAAGGACTAAAATGTAGAGCCAGTTCTCTGTGGGTTCAGCATAATTAATTTATGACCTTTACTGGTGTTCTGCTTTGATCAAATAGGAGAAAAGCGGCAAGGTGTTTTGGAGAAGCAGAAGCTATTGCTTGTGGTGTTTACATGGGGGCTAAAGGCATGCCAAGGCTTGTACATGTTAGTCTGAAGTTAGGCCCTGTCACCCTGGTGCTCACGCCAGGTGCATGCTAGTAGTTAGGAGGGCTGCCTAACCCAGCTACCACACTTAGGTCCATCTCAACACTTAGCTTGAGCACATGCACGGACAAATACTGCCTTGAAAGGGGAGCCATTAATTTGTAGATAAACACAAGCCCACTGTTGTGTGGGCTTGTGTGAATTGTGTGTTTTGTCTCTGAAGCAGAGAGATCCAGAACAATCACCAGCCAGTGTGTGTGTGTCCAGCTGATGTTTCGGTCTCCAACAAAAAGCTGACTGTTCTTGATGGAGTAGCCTGAGACTGGAAAACAACACTCACTGTTTTCCCCAAGAGGTTGTTTTCCATCACTCTGTTGTTTTTCACGTGCACATTGGGAGGATGCGTTCAGCAATTGGGGGATGCCAGGCATAACGGCATGTAGCTACCTACGGAGGAGCCATAAATGTACTAATTAAGCAGTAACTAAACCTAAAAAGGGGCCTAATATGTCTCTGTTTAGTGTCTCATAGATGCATGTGGGACTTGACTGGTATTTGGTAGAATAGCTGACAAAGCAATGATTTCCTGTACTGTTGTCTCAAAGTCAAGGAGAAATAAGAGCATAATAATAGCACCAATAGCACTAATACTATCACTAGCACTCAAGCTGGTGTCTCTGACTCCACGGAAAGCCCACAGTTCTGTCTCAGCTGTAAGGAAATGAATTCAGCTTCCCCCTATGTAATCATTACAGCTATAGCCTAGAGTAAGAGCGAATACAAAATTTATGTAAATTTTTGCAAACAGAGCTCTGGTGTTTTACAGTCTGACGGGAGGAAAGAGGCAGGCTCAACAGGATAGTCCAGTGTTTGAAGTCACCAACAGTTCACACCAGAAGGTAGTAGTAGTTAGCAGACTTTGTGGTGGCCCAGCACCTCTTGCATCTCGCCCGCCGGATGGGTTCTCGGGTAAGTGCCTCCTGCCCTGCTCTTGTAGGTAGGAACGCGGTCCCTAAATGAACATGCAGAGATAACTGAAAAAATGGTGGGCTCTTTTTTTAAGGATGTTTTTGTTCTGACAGCACTTCAGCAATATGGATTGAGGACCATCATGGTATGTATTGTTTAACACAGGGCAGACTGAGGACTTCAAAAGCACTTGCAACCTCTTTGTGAGCGTTTGCATTGGTTTCTGGGCATTTGTCATGTGTAGCTGTAGGAAAGTGTTCTCATTCTGGCCTGTTGATCCAGGTAACTGCATCAATACAAAGTGCTGTGAGGTGTTTCTCCTTATAGCACATGCTATAGATTGGAGCCTTAAGTTACTGTACTTCTTAAAGCACTTGAAGAATCAGTCTGAGGGCATGCAATCTGCTGTTCCAGTTAGGCAACCCTTGCTCATTACAAATGCAGTCTGTCCGGAACAGGCGATTTCAGGACCATCCTTAAGATCTCTTAATCGTTTTTTAGTGTCCTCCCAGTGTCCCAAGCAAGCTTTAAGGGTGTGGGTACTCCCAAAACAATCCCACCACGGAGCATAAATAAGGTCACCTTAAAATCTGCTTGCAGAGATGAGTGATGTAGATACGTGCATTTTTATCCAGCAGCTTGTTGCACTGTCTTTAAGAGATTTTATCTATATACATGTATTTAATGCAGAGAAAAACAGAAGCAAAGTTATAATTTAATTACTCCAAAGAAATCTGAACACCTTACAGCTTAAAAGATAGGAAAATCCACATAGTACTGTCAAGAGTGTGACAGGTCCAGGGAAGGTTTGGGAAAGTCAAAGGCAAGGATGGTAAATTGTAGTCATTGCAGAAATTGTTGGAACTGTTCCAATAGCAATAAATATACATATGTATACATAAAACAGACCTTGGAGGAAAGTTGTGAGACCTTTGGCTTTGGAAATTAAGCAACCTCAGAAAAACAGTTAGCAAGTTCTTAACAGATAATGTCAATCCATTATGTTCACACATGGCAGCCTGCTTGCAGTTCAGTTTCTGAACAAAAACGTGGTTCTTAAATGTTTATAACTTTTCTATTTGAAGTTGGCTTATGCAGTTAATTATGTAAGTTTTTGAGATTAATATTTATATATTTTACTTAGGGAAAAATTGCTTAGAACTATAAAAACTCCGTTTTTATTCCTTTAATTATTTTTGTTAATATTATTTTCACTCGTTTCCTTGTCATACTTAGAGCTTTGGCACAAGTGACACTTCTTATTTCTGTGGTAAGTCATTGCACAGCATGCTGCAGCTTTACAGAACTGCAGGCAGCCTAAACACTTCTGCCTTGCCCAAAATCTACAGTGTGGACTTTGGATTCTCCCCTGAATATGAATTCACATCTTCATATTCTCCTGAGTATAAATTCCCACAGTCATTTAAGCTTTTTAAATGTGGTTGTTCATTCAAAAGATACATTAGGCATTAAACATGCCCTTAAAGTGTCTTCTTAAGTGATTATAAAGGTGAGTAATGAGGTATTTTAAATGGCCACCACAGGCTCATTTCTTTCCCTTGGGGGAGCATCATGCTTTACATGCTGTATTCACATACACATCTGTTAAAGCCCAGTCCCAGAGAAAATGACAGCTGAGTGTGAATAGCCCACAGTGAGCATATTTTGGAGTGGAGGAGGAATGCCACAAACCCAGGCTCCTGAGATTACTATGTAACTGCGTGAAAAAATGCGCTCCCAGAGCGCAGAACAACAGGGGATTGTTCTCTTTGCTACAGACACTGCAAACTCACAACACACCCTAGTGTAAGATCTGAGGGGGCACCCGTACATCATGTTAACAGGTGATGACAGTCCAGTGGCTAGATCTGCTGAGAAGATTCAAATTCAGGACATGGCACTGGTTTTGTGGGATGGAGGGATCAAAAAACAGGCTGAAGGAGAGGCAGGTGTTGAGGAAGCAGTGAGCCCAATACTCTTGTGTTTTTGTATGTTACTTCGTGTTTTTACATACACAGATGTCTCCTGGCATGCATCCATACACCAGAGATGACTATTATCTGAAGAGCTTGCAGGCAAGATAAGCATGGTGAGGAGCACAAGAGCTAAATATGACCTCTAAATTACAAGTGAGAAACCAAGGCACACAGACTAATAGTCTATTTTTTTGTTCTAATGCTATAACATATGGTAATGTATGTAAAACTTCCTTTTACTATAATAACAAGCTTGTGTTACGTTACTTATGTGTAGTTTTAAATTTGATCTCCTTTTGGACAATCTCTTTTTGTTAGGGAACAGAAAAAAAGATGAAATATGTCTAACATGACCAGTTGTAATTGCTTAGGAAAAACATGTTTTAATTGGCAATGCTCTTTACCACAATTCCTAACTAACCCTTGAGCACGTGAGTTGGCTGCGGTAACAGACACGTGGCCTCTAGTGATCGCTTTATGACAAATCAGTCTAGATTTGGTTCCTCATTTACTAAGTTCAGCCTCTACAAGCCCCTCTTGGCCTGTTTTATCTTGCCCTGCACAGCGGTTATGTGGATCCCCAGCAAACAACTCCATGAGTGCTCTGACACTGCCAAGCAGTGTAGCATAAACGTATTTCTTCATCGAGCTCCAAAGTGCAGACTTAGATAATTTAATGAAGTTGAGCTTGCACGAGTTACTCTACACTAAGCCGCAGACTGCAAAACAAACATGTTCTTAGTTTGCAGCCTAGCTCCATAGACCAAGTATGTGCCTGTTTTTCACACAGTGACTTATGGCTGGGAAGAAATCCCTGCAGAAATTCACAAGACTGTTTTCTAACCTTCCTTTGAAATCACCCCCCAGTAGCCTACAGTCTGGCTGGACTATGGTGAGCACTAACAGTGCTCACAGAGGTGACCTGTAACTCCCAACAAGCCTGTAAAAGCATTGCTCTTGCATTGCAGAGGATTGTAGAGACCGTGGCTGTTCTAACAGCTCCTCCAAGAGTTGGGGCGGGGAAGAAGGAAGAAGGCTCATGGAAGAAGGAAGGAAGTCATGAGAAGATATCTTTGCTCAGAGAAAACGTCAGATGATGCCAACTTTTCTCTGCCCTTCAGGCAAGCAGTGATCCATGTCTTTGCCTTTTTTTTTTTTTTGTACATAAGGGTATTTCCATTGCCCCCCATCTAGACTGCTCTTTCCCACTGGTAAGTTTAGGATTGGTGCAAACTGCTTTCAGAAATGCAGTGACACTGGCAGGTTCTTAAATGTCATG